GGGGGGGGGGAGCCAGGCTGTAGCCCTGGGACGTCCCCGGGATGGGCAGGCCGGTGGGCACCAGGGACTGGTTCATGTCGTACATCACCCCCTCCACCTCGTTGCCGAAGGGCAGCAGCAGCCGTTTGCCTTTCTGACGCCGGTTGCAGAACCAGACCCGGACCACCTGCAAGGGAGGGGAGATGGGGAAGGGTGAGGGGGGCAACCCCAAGCGCTGTGCGGGTGACAGAGACCCTTCTGCTGGTGGCATCTCCACAGGACCCCAACCTGCCAGCACAGCACCCTCCTGGGGCTGGGCTCAGACAGTGGCCAGCCCCGGCCACTCTCTCACAGCTTCCAGTATCAAACTGGCGCAATGCGGATGCTCAGGAACCACAGCCATTTGTTTGGGCACCCACCCTGCAAACCCTCCCAACCTACGTCTTTGTCCAGGTTGAGGTCCTCGGCGATCTGGGAGATCTCCTGGGGACTGGGCTTCACGCACTTGCGAAAGAAGCTCTCCAGTGTCCCCTTCACGTTGGTCTCGATGCTGGTCCTGCGTTTTCTCTTCCGGGCTTGGGCCAACACTTGCTCTGCATTGCACATCTGGAGATGAGAGATCACACGCTTGGTCACAGGGCTAGCAATGTCCCCCCAGCCTCTGGACACATATGCGGCTGGCTGCAGAGGTCTGGGAGGGATGGGAGCAGGCTTTGTCCCTATGACTGCCCACCGAACGTCGCCCCACTGCAACTGGGGCCATTTGTAGTGTCCCAGTACTGCCTGTAGCTGGTGCAGGGGGGATAGACACATCTTCTTGCATCCCTCCAGGCTCCCCAGGGAGCAGCAAGCTGCATCTGCAGCTCATCTAATACTCCAGCAGGACCTGGCTGCTGAGACTGGAGCTGCCACAATTGTCACAAGGTGCCTGCAGGCGCATTTGGGCTCCCGCAGACTGACAGAAGGTGATACCCAGTGGTTCCTCCCACAACCGGACTGAAGCCATAACAGCAAGACGCTGCTATGGCACAAGATGCCAGCTGCTCCCCTCCTCTCTCCCAAAAAGCACACATAAAAGGGATGAGAAACTGCAGCTTGATGGCTCATAGGTGTGCGGCACCCCCGACTCCCGGCGCCGTACCTCTTGCATGTTGTCCGTGTTCTCCGCCTCATTGAGCCAACGCTGCAGCAGTGGTTTCAGCTTGCACATGTTCTTGAAGCTGAGCTGGAGCGCTTCGAAGCGGCAGATGGTGGTCTGGCTGAACATCTTCCCTGTGCAGGCAGGCATGGCATCACACACCGCTCCTGCCCCCATGCTGGGGGATCTCCCACCTCCAGCAGTCCCCCGGTATCCCCCTCCAGCATACTTGTCCCTTGGGATGGGGGATCAGGAAAGGCATTCTCCCTGCTGCTTCAGCAGGGATTTAAAGCACTGAGACACCCTTCAATAACCAGACCCCCTACAAAACCCCCCTGCCGCTATTTTAAACCAGTTCCTTGTTACCACACCTTTCCAGCATGAGCGAGTCCATGGCCAGAGCTCGGGAGCCCCAGGAGCCCCGGGGCTGGTGCTCACCGCCTCCTTTGCGGGTCGTTAAGGAGCAGAAATCTCCAAGGCCTCTCCTTCCCCCCCGGCTGTGGCAGGGGGACGAGGACCCTTACCGGACTCTTACCATAGAGGGTGCCCAGAGCCAGCCCCACGTCAGCCTGGGTGAAGCCCAGCATGATGCGCTTGTGCTTGAGGTCCTTGGCGAACTGCTCCAGCTCCTCCGAAGTTGGCGCATCCTGGCAGGGGCGGGGAT